CTGTACCAATTAACTATTTCTACATTGCAAACTACCACCCTAAAACAGATTGATTTAATAAGATAAACATTCATTATTTTTCCTAAGTCTCTTGTTTCTTTGGAAGACTCTGCTGATCGTAGCCAGTCTCAGCTGATATCAATGTAGCTGGCTTCTGCCCCTGTGCTCAGCTGGCAGGTCCACTGGGGCTGGCTGCCCTTTTGCATTTAGTGACTGGCTGGCTGTTGGCCATGATTACAGGGGTGATGGGCAATGTGTCTCGCATCTTCCAACAGGATAGCCCATGGTTGTTCTCATGATAGCTGAGCAGGGTTTCCAGAGACACAGGGGAAGAAAGGATTAAAAAAATTCACAAGGCTTCTTGAGGCCCAGGGTCACAGCTCACTGTAGTGGTGAAATGCCTGCCAAATTCATGTAAGGAGGAAACAGCTTCCTGGGAGGAGTGTCTGGGTACAAAGAGGGGAGAAGTATTAAAGAGCTTTTGTAGTCGATTAGTCATGTTCCTTCTGCTTTTTTTTTTTTTCTTTTTGGAGTATTCTGAAAGAATAAATGTCATTTTACCACTAAATATTTTAGAGGATAGACTTTTATATTTTAAGTTGTTATAATTTTATAATTTTAGTAGAAGTTACTTAAGTTAACCATATTCTTTGGAACAGAAAATTATTAGTAGAGTCTGTATCTTCATTACTTCTAATACCAGAGTAATATATAACATCACTGTCACTACTATTAATAAGTTTTTTTTATTTTTCTGTGTTAATTTTACATTACTGGCTAGGCGTGGTGGCTTATACCTGTAATCCTAGCACTCTGGAAGGCAGAGGCTGGTGGATTGTCTGAGTTCAGGAGTTTGAGACCAGCCTGAGGAAAAGCGAGACCCCCCTCTCTACTAAAAACAGAAAAACTAGCTAGGTGTTGTGGTGGACACCTGTAGACCCAGCTACACAGGAGGCTGAGGCAGGAGGCTCACTTGAGCCCAAAAGTTTGAGGTTGCTGTGAACTATGACATCACAGAACTCTGCCCAGGTGACAGAGTGAGACTCTATCTTACACACACACACACACACACACACACACACACACATCCTACATTGTCTCACTTAACCCTCATAAATTTTCTACAGGGCTGTACCTGTTACTTTTATTTGTAGAGATGAGTGAGAAGTTGGGTGAACTGCCCAATGCCACATCGTCAGTGATGACTTTGAACCGAGGTTACCCCACCTCCATTTCCTGTGATCTTATTCACTACACACCACTCTTTCCTGGTGGCTGGGGAGCAGACCTCAATAGATTTCTTTGTATTGCCTTGGGAGCCCAGGTAGACTTGACAAAGGCTTAGCAACCTTCTTCTTCATTTTTTAAGGCGTAAATTTAAGCTAAGGAAGAATGTTGTTTCTAGATTTTCCACAATGGAGCTCTTTCATTATCTGTAATACTGATGATGTGTATGTGTTAGAGGACTTTGTTTAGAAGTAGTCCTGTGAGGTATGCATGCCTGTCCAAGGTTATGTTAATGTCAGGAAGCATCCATCGTATAATATAACACTAAGATATCTATTTTCTTTTTTTTAATGTTTAATGTTTTTCTTATAATAGGGTCTTGCTGTGTGACTCAGGCTGGAGTACACAGCACCATCACAGCTCACTGTAGCCTTGAACTCCTGGGAAGAAGGAATCCTCCTGTCTCAGCCTCCTGTGTAGCTGGGACTACGGGCGTGTGACAGCACACCTGGCTATTGTTTTTTTCAATTTTTGTAGATATGGGGTCTTACTATGTTGCCCAAACTGGTCTTGAACTTCTAGGATTGAGTAATCCTCCTGCTTTGGCTTCCCAAAGTACTAGGATTACAGGTGTGAGCCACTGTCCCACCTGTGACATATATTTTGAATTAGATAGCACAGTTGATTTTCTTCTTCCTGAAGATGAGCTAAGATAGTAGGAAGATTTAATCCAATGTATTTAGTTTCATAAGAATGAATTGATTCTGGGGTGGCACCTGTGTCTCAAGGAGTAGGGTGTCGGCCCCATATGCCAGAGGTGGTGGGTTCAAACCCAGCCCTAGCCAAAAAAAAAAAAAAAAAAAAAAAAGAATTAATTGATTTCCTTTTGGATTTGAGTTAATGTTATTTAGTGAGCCTCAAGAATATTTTTATATATATTGTTCTTTCTTCATGCCTGCTCCATTCTGAGTTCTATCAAGTGCTTTCATCTTTGAGGTCCGGCAAGGGGCATTAAATTCTTTTAAGCAAGATAAATGAGAGTATAATTTTTTACTATCTTATGGATGTAAAACAGACTTACTGAACAGTGTGCCCTTCATACATTCTAACAATGAATTTAAGACTGACTTTCCCTTTTTAATCTGAAAGGTGTTTTTGGACATTGATCAGTGAAAGGAGTCTTGCTTGCAGGGGACACATTTTAACTTCTAATAATTTTTTCTTTTCTTTTTCTTTTCTTTTTTTTTTTTTTTTGCAGTTTTTGGCCAGGGTCAGGTTTGAACCTGCCACCTCTGGTATATGGGACCAGTGCCCTACTCCTTTGAGGCACAGGTGCCACCCAACTTCTAATAATTTTTATATTACAACATTTAAACATACAGGTTTCAGGTAAATTGAAGTCAATCCCTGTAGTAAATAAGGCCGTATGCAGAATTAGCCATTACTTGTCATCAGTGTTTGTTACGGCTCTTACTATTTAGTCTTATCTTAAGACAAGGGATCAGTGTGACATCATTTATGCAAGAGAATTTCTTGGGGCAAGATCATGTGCCTAAGACTCTTAAAATTTCAAAAGTCACCATGATTGAACAATTAGTATCTATGAACTATTTTACCACAGCAATTTGAGAACATCGAACTTACTAGCCCAAGCCGCGAGGTTGATTAAAACTGAGTCTGTTCTCAGTTATCTGGCTATCTAGGTATTTCTATTCCCTGTTCCAGGGATATTCCTGAGATATTTATCTGGAAGTATAATATCCTGGGAGCATCATTTGGAAAGCCTTGCTCCTTTCAAATAGAGGGAAACTCATAAAATGCAACGTAGTCCAGGAGAAGTCCACGAAGCCATTAGCATTGAATATCAGTGGGACCAAATATTAAATAATCAAGGTAGATTACAGATAAAGAGTGATATAATTATAAACAGTCGTTTACGTGACTTTTATTAAACTGATTCAGAAAAGAGCAGGAAAAAGAAGATTCAAAGGAGAAGGCACTAGTGTTTTCCATCTGAGAGATAGCTACCAGTTTAATGTTTCTTAGCTGTGTGCAAATACGCAGAACTCATTTTTCAAAGTGTAGGCAGTGTTCTCCTTTGTATAATTAAAATATCTTTCTCTATATTTTATTTTGTTAATCATAATAACTTGTTTCAGTAGGAAAACTCAATTAACATAGTGACACATTTGTAAATATTTTATTTTATTTATTTATTTGTTTTTGAGACACAGTCTCACTCTGTCTCTTGGGCTAAGAGTGCCGTGACATCATCATAGCTTTCTGCAACCTCGGACTCCTGGGCTCAAGCAAGTCTTCTGCCTCAGCTTTCTGAGTAGCTGGAAACACCATATCCAGTTAATTTTTCTATTTTTTTGTAGAGATGGGAGCTCGCTCTTGCTCGGGCTAGTCTTGAACTCCTGGTTGCATGTGATCCTCTTGCCTCAACTTCCTAGAGTATTAGGATTACAGGCTTGAGTCACCGTGCTTGGCCTAAAAATACTTTAATCATCAATATAAATTATTTGTCATTAGGAAATATTCTGAAGCACACAAGTATAACTTTTTCGAATTTCTGTTTTATAGGTGAGTTGATTGGAATCAGACAAAATGAAGCAATGCTATCTCTGTAATTCAGGACAAAACTTTACAACTTCTTTCGAGGCAAGAAGTAGAAAGGAATATTTTCTTTCATGATCAATATAACTTTTCTCTAAGTAAAATATAAATGAGATTTCTGTCCCTTAAGTCTTCTAAAATTGTGAAACAAACATCATTAGTTACTACTTTAGGTTTGAATGACCTATACATATACTATGCTAGGTACAGGTCCATAATCTCTTAAGGTACAATTTGAGAGGAAATAACATGATCAAAATACTTGAAATTAAATATAAATTTAGTGGTTTTCCTATCTCTTTCTTCACTAACTTTTTCCAACCAGTTCTAAGTAAACAGAGTAATTGATTCTCCCCACCAAAGAAATTGTACACCTGAAAGACTAATTATCACATGGTCACGTTTTTGAGCAAATTGTTGTATTATTATTTTCAAGAATATACTATAAACAATGTTGAGACGTCTAGAAAAAAAGAAATTGTAAGAGAAAATTAAAAAAAAGGAAATCCTAATCTTTATTCTGTTTTTTGTAAATTTAGGGTGAATAAACATTCTCCTTAAATGTGAAACAACTGGTGGCTTTCCATGCTGCTTGAAACAGGCTTCCATTTGTAAATTTTAATTACAAATCATTTGACTTTACTCATTTGTTTTTTATTTTTCTCTTCCTTACATTATCTGTGAACTATCTATGTTCTTTTAATGTAAAATATGTAAACATGAGAATTTATTTCACACAAAAAATTTAAAGATGCATTTTTATGGTCCTAATGACTTGACTGGGTTAGATGCCTGATATAAAGAACTAATTGAAAAAGTACTACCTTTTGAATGAAAATAACTAAATGAAATCATTCTTTTAGCTATTGACACTATTAGTGTGTACTAGAAGATCTTCCAAGTGAAACTTCCTCATATTTACAAATGTGATTCATTGGACCATTTTATGCTTTCTGATATAGTATATATTCACTCTTCTTTAATAAAGAGAGAAAACCCATTTTACTTCTGTGAAAGTATTAGAGAACAGTTGCATAAAGAGGAAAAATGCTACCAAACCAAAAAAAATAAAATGTATATAACTTATTACATTATGCTGGTATTTCAGATCTTTTGTACCAAAATGTTATTCTGTTTGTTTTTTGAATTTCCAGGTTAACTGCAATCTCTTCGGCTCTAAACGAAAGTAACAGGAGACATTATTAAGATTTTCATTTTTTTCTGGGCTGTCTCCTTCCTGAAGAGCAATGGAGATGCTTTTAAGTGGAAGAGGATTAATCATCTTTCTAATTTTCCTCCTGTTAAAATCCTCAACAGCGATTGAAATACCACCCTCAGGTAAAGTAACAGCATTCAGTACTTAGGAAATTTTATATCTGCATTTTGATTTATAAGGAGAATACTTGTGGGATGAAGTTGGGACTTTTCTAGCATATTTTTATGTACTTTCCAGTAATCTGTCATCAGAATTCATGTCTGCCTTTTTCCTTTTTGGGGTGGCTCTATTTGGCTGTTATAATTATTTTATAGCTCAGGCTTCTTGTCTCTTATGTCAACTTAGCACATAATGACCAACCTATGAATAAAGAAGTATTTTTCCATATGTTAGCTTCATCTGCAAACTGCTTTTACATTTATATACTCAGTTTATCTTAAAGAGAAGTATGATTCAGAAATTACTGGCCTTCTACCAATTATGACCAAAAAAACAGAATAAACTTCATATTCTTTTCAGAATGATTATATATTTAAGAAAGAAAACAATAAATTAGAAAAATAATGTAGGGCCATTTTGCAATAAAAAGAATAAATGACATCAGTTCTCAAAGTCTAGAGCATTAGATAGTCTTATATATTTTAACATATGTTAGTGAAAATGGATGCAGATTTTTAATCATCCCAAATTGGTTTGAAGAAGTTATAGTTAGTAATAGCTCAGCAATAATGCATCTGCAAACACAGCTTTTGTAATAGTCTATCAGGTGTAGAGGGATTTAGGGAATTTTTTGTATTATCAGCACATGGCATCTAAAAGACCCTTGAGAGGTTATTAAGAAATTTTTATCCATAAAGTTGAAGAATAATGCCTGCTGTCTCTTCCGTATATATTTTGGACAGTTATAGTACGAGAGACTCTAGTTACTTTTTAGAATCTTCGTATTGGAAATGATCTTTGTGGTAATTCTAGAGAAATGATCGTGATTTCGGAAAATTTAATGAATGTCAGAAAAGCGCTAACACGGAGCATCAGCTTCCCTTTGGAAGTACTCAGACAGACTGAGACAGGAAAAGAAATAGCCCTGTGATTGTATAATTCAGTGTGTTTTAAAACTATTTCTGGGGCCCACGTTAAATTACTCTGTGGATCAATTTCATGTCGCACGCTAAGCCCTGCACTGGAATTAATAGTTCAATAGCCAGGGTGGGAATCCCTTCTCTGCTCTAACAGAGGAGTAAGCCTCTGTTTCAATCTTCTCATTTCTTAAGGAATCCCACTTATCGGTTTTGCAGGTATGCAAACTTAAGTTCTCTATACGTTTAGGTGAAATCTTGACCAGCCTGTTTGCAGAGATCTGGTCAAGATGCTGAAGTCCCTTCATCTTCACAGGATTCTTTTTGGTTTGAGGATGCGATGCCACGTTAGGAATAGGATTCCTGGTGGTCCGGTGGAAAAGGGGTAATTTCCCAGGAACAACAAAAATAGCACTGAACTTCCTTATTCAGATTCCTGACCGTGTTCTCGGGCACATACATTTCCTCTTCATCCTTCTTAGCTCTAAAGATGTGAAGGATGTGAAATTTTGTATTAATCCATGGCACACATTTTATCCCAGTTGTCTCAGTTACTTATGCATTTTCATGCTGTAATGTCCTTTGACAACAATTGTTATAAAATATTAATGGCGTGTTTTCAGAACAACTGCACATTATTCCTTCGTTTCAGCACTCTAGAGCACTCACGAGGAAATGCAGCTAAGCCAGGTATCTAATTTGAATGTCAACGAGTCCGGTGTCCCCGTAATTGGCCTAATTATAGAGGAAAAGGTTTATAATGTAGAATATATTTTCTTATAAATACCCAAAGGTTATTAGTTCCATTCCCTGAGTAATTAGCTATTGCTGAGCCTTTACAACCTTAGCAAATTTAAGAAAGAATAATGTCCTAATAAACAAGTTGTTCACAAGTTATTAGCTGATATCTTAGGGACTGTTGCTACTGTGTGTCACCCTCACCATTCGCAGCAGTCATAAAGTTATTTAAATAGGAATTTGCAAGAAGCTCAAGACTTGCTCTGCTTAGAAATAGGAGTCATCAGAAACAAGGTAAATGTCAATAAGATATGGATGTTTTTTGCACATTACTAAAATGTTTATGAACATCCAATAAATACAGACTGGCTGGGTGCTGTGGTTCATGCCTATAATGTTAGCACTCTGGGAGGCCAGTATGGGAGGATTGCTGGAGCTCAGAAGTTTGAAAGAAGGCTGAGCAAAAGTGAGACTTGGTCTCTACTAAAAATAGAAAAACTAGCCAGGCATGGTGACAAAGGTCTGTAGTCCCAGCTGCTTGGGAGGCTGAGGCAAGAAGATCATTTGAGCCCAAGAGTTTGAGGTTACTGTGAGCCATGACGCCATGACCCAGGGCGAGAGAGTGAGACTCTGTATTAGAAGCAAAAACAAATACAGACTGAATTTGAATTGATGTCTGTAAGATAATAAAATGCATTTATCAGATTTACATAGTAGGGAAAGTAAAACAAGAAGAAATCTTATAATTGGAAAGGCATTTATTTCTTTATTGAGACAGAATCTCATTCTGTTGCCCTCTGTAGAGTATTATGATGTCATAGCTCACAGCAACTTCAAACTCCTACATTTGAACAATTCTCTAGCTTCATCCTCCCGAGTGGCTGAGACTACAGGTGCCTGCCACTATGCCCGGCTAGCTTTTCTATTTTTAGTAGATATAAGGTCTTGCTCTTGTTCAGACTGATCGCCAATTCCTGAGCTCAAGCAATCCACCCACCTCTCAGGGTGCAGGATTACTGGCATGAACCCAGCCTGGAAAGAGCATTTAGTTATTATTCTTGGCAGGCTGTCAGTGCTCAAAGTGAGGTTTGTAGATCACTTGGGGTCCCAGAGATTCATTCAAATGGTCCATAAGATCGAACTGTTTTCATAAATAATTCTAAGATTCCATTTCTCTTTTTCACCATGTTGTCATTTTCAGTGATGTCACAAAAGCTATGGTAGTAAAACTGTTGTCCTAGAACAGATGAAGGCCTTGGCACCAAATTGCACTAGTTCTCCAGATATTTTTAGCACCCATATACTCAGAGATAAAAGAAAAACAAATTCAGAAAAAGCAAACGAAACCAGTTTTGTTTAATATTGTAATTGTTGAAACAATTAAATATTATTGATTTTGTTAATTCATCACCCTTGAATTAGGAAATTAACTTTCTAATATTGACATACTGAGATTCCATCTCAAAATAATTAAGAATTAACTTTCTAATATTGGGATAAATTGAGAAATTTGCTGTATATCAAAATATGATGATTATCTCTATTTCTTGGTGGTGTCATTGCTTGAGTCTCAAGCTGGACATCATGTTTGCTAGAAAGTTATGTTTGACAAACCAATTTTAGTTTCTCAAACGGTTATAAGGCAGATATTTTCCAGACAGTCAACCTGATGAGGTGAGCCCATCACTGTAAGATGTTATGCTGTCAGTGATAAAATCTTGAGCAAAATTAGAATTAGAATTTTGAGAAACATATTTTCTACTGTGAGCTTGACGGTATCCCAACATTTAAGATTTTTCTTCTTAGATCAGTGGTAATAGTAAGTGTAAATTTTTGACATTTTAAAATGAAATACATCAACATTTGGAAGATTTGCATAACTCAGTGAACCATGTATTTTTTCCAAACGGGCACTGCCTGATGTTAGAAAATCCTGCATACATTTAAAAAACCACAAGTAAAGTAGTTTAACGTGACAGAATACGAAAATTTCAGTGATAGGTTTCAGTTCTACATTGTAATAAATATGTAAGAAACTTCCACTTCTGGAGTTTTGGTGTAGTAGTCACAATCATCAGAAAGGACAATAAAATTTCCCGCCTTTTTTAAGTTACATATTTCTGCAAGGCTGAATTTTATTTTTATTTTTTAACAACCAACATCCACATTTTATTTAAATTGAAAAAAATACACAGAATTTAGTTTCTTCACCAAAACTGAGGGCACTATTTTCCATATTATTTCTAGATACATGACGAAACACTTATTTTTGTTGCTTTTCCAGGTTTTGTTTATAAATCAAGATGAGGCCATATATAAAGTCACGGAGAAAGCAGGGAACAGTCAAGTCAGTTGTCAGTATCCAAGGCCTCTGATTCTGTCAATCATGAAACAGAAATGGCTTAACGCATAACTGCTAAAAAGCGTAATGGAGAACAGGTTGGACAGCGGAATGTAAACAGCAATGACCTGATGTGGAGTAACAGTGGCAGGCTCTTCCTTTCAAACTTGAACTTGTTCCTTTAAGTTCAGTTGATAAAGACACAATCTACCCTGATTGTGAAATCCTCATTTGATGAACTCACAAGCTTCTCTCTGATATATCTTTTAACTGTGCACAGATTTTTAACAACATATTTAAAACTTCCACTAGCTTCAAAGGTCAATAGTTGGTTTTATTGTAACATTTTATGAAATGTATTCCTTCCAGGCTCAGTGCCTGTAGCTCAGTGGGTAGGGTGCTGGCCACATACACTCAGGCTTATTAAAAAAATAGCTGGGCCTTGTGGTGGGTACCTGTAGTCCCAGCTACTTGGGAGGCTGAGGTAAGAGAACTGCTTAAGCCTAAGAGTTAGAGGTCGCTGCGAGCTGTGACACCACGGTGCCCTCCCAAAGACGACATACTGAGATTCCATCTCAAAATAAATAAATAAATAAAATAAAATAAAAATGTATTCCCTCCGATCATACCTCCTCAAAATTTCTTTCTTCAAGGGACTGACAACTGAATACTTGACACGGGTCTGCCATGATAGTAAATGTTATTTGTAAAGTGACTTAACTAAAACAATTAAATGGTGTCAGTAGCAGAGACCACAAAAAAGTAAAACATGGCACTTTTAATACTGTCTTGTGGAAAAACTGATAAGTCTTCAAGGGATGAGAGTTCACCAGGGGCCACTCCAATGGGTAGATTATCAAAGGCTAAAGTATTCAAGGAGCCCTATATCAAATTCTATAGAATTAAGTCAGAGCTTTCTGTAGATAATTCAGAAACCATTGAAAATATCTACTAGACTTTAAATATTTTTAAAGGCTTTCTCTTGAATTTTCATTATATCTTTAAATAAATAAACATATTGCAACAGATTTAACGGAGTAGCACATATGAGAATCCAGCTGCCTTCTCTTAAGAAATTATTTGCTAATGTAAAACTGGCACTCTTGTCATTATATTTAGTGTTTTTCATAAAATATGTGATTTTTAACATAGAATCGATTAAATAAATTTGTAAGTACATATTTTGAATTTTTTAATTTTTATTTCTATTGTAATAAATATTTTTGGATAGAACACACATGAATAAAGACCTTCTGGATGTCTGATGATTTTTAAGATCGTAAAAAACTCCTGTGATCAAAATTTCTGAGATAACTTAGGTAAGCCTGAATCCTTCACATTACAACGGAGAAAACAGAAAGTGGTTTAGGGCCTGGTCCCATGTCACAGATTATTTAGAGTTGACTCTACTGTGGAATATTCCTATTGACATCAGTCTCTGTGTCTGTCTGCAAGTTGCTTTTCTCAAAACGTGTTCACCAGAATCAGGACCCTGCTCTTGAACAGCTTGTATCTCCTTAAGGATTCAATCCTGTGCCCTTATTAGAGATGCTAAGAACTTAACAAGCTAGGAATGTCTCATTTGAAAAATCTGAATACTCCTTGGCAGTAGATTTTTATGTATATAGACCATGATTTGTGTCCTATTTTAAAACTTAATCCAAGTTAGCATTTTCAGTATTGGAACATATATTTTATAGTCATGATTCTCAGAAATGGGTCTAGCTGCTTGACTAGGTGGGACACAAGTTGCTTTCTACTTTTTACTTTTAAAAATTCTGTTCATCTGGCTCGGCACCTGTGGCTCAAGTGGCTAAGGCTCCAGCCACATACACCTAAGGTGGCGGGTTCGAATCCCCAGCCCGGACCCGCCAAACAACAATGATGGCTGCAACTAAAAAATGGC